GTTCATTGAAAACTTAAAAACCACTTGGGAGAACATTGAAAAACAGTAGGATTTTTTGCTCTTCCAGTTTATGTTTAGGAACTAGATGTGAGGAAATCGGATGCACTGTTTCTCAAGTCATGGAAGAATGGAAACGATATGTTTAAATCAATTAATGTGTAAAAATATTTATTTTATCAACCGATTCAATGCCAATGCAATTTAGCACTTCATTTTTCTTAAGAAACAGACATATTTAAGATGATTTTATGTAGCAAAATTTCAAAATTCTTCTCTTATTTTAAGCAGTTTCCTGTTACCATGCTATTATGATTGATATGTATCAACTTTTTAAAAATTATCTAGTATCGATGTGTGAGCTTCATATGTATTTTCTAACATAATAAAACAAAGAATATAAATGTATTTTCCAGCATAATAATACCAAAAATAAAACTAAATAAACATAAAGTAGTCATATATAACTACTAAAATAAATACATGCGTAGGAAAGCTTCAATGCAGCAAAAAGAAATACTAAATTTTATCACCCAAAAAGTAGTGAACTTTCTTTGGACGAATGACTGAAACGTACAAATAGAAATCAAATTATAATTGGTTATTTCAATTAAGGGTTTTCCTGTGAATTTAATTACAGTTAAAAGCAGTGAATTATGTTGCTTCCATTTCAGACACTGCTGTAAATATAAGTCTAGGGATGATCTGGTTTCACATAGGAAAATTGTCAACATTGTTTACCTGATATTAGAGAAAATAGGTAGGGGAAAGCACTTAAGCTTGTCAGATTTCAGTAGAAAATATTGTGGTAGAGCATCAGATACAGAATTATTGACGTGAATTTACCTTTAAAATTTTCATTTTGAAAGCAAGATCATTATGAAATCATCTGCGGTCTTGGAAATGTACAGCTTGTACTGTTTATGTAAATACCGGGCTGGAAAAAAAGTCAGCTCTCTAGGCATACCTTCAAGAACGTACAATCTATTGCTCTGAAGAGAAGAGCTGCTAGGAGAATCAATGCAAATATAGTTCCTTTTCTCAGTAGAAAGCTCCTGACTAGGGTTCAGCCTAAGTTCAAAGATTACATTGCGTTGAAATACAGTATGGTTACACTATGCTACGCTTCGAGGTTATGGATTCATCACCTTAGGCAGAAGATGCATAACTACTTGTCTGACACACGTTTGGCCATGGTGGCTTGGCTTTATCTGGCTTTCATGAGCGTTGTGTTTCCTCATTCAGGACTGAGCCTAAGCAGTCTTGTTTATGCATCTCTACCTTTTTATTTCATTTCTGTGTCTTTTTTTTGGAAATGGGTAAGGCATTAAATCCATATAAAGAGAAATTTTTTTTTAGCTGTATATGAAAATGTACCCAGATTAGAATACTAGATCTTAAATTATTCTGATCCAGACATTCTTTTTGATATCATAAGTCCATCAGCATGTTGCTGTGTGCACTACATCTTGTTTCCTTAGCTTAAATGCTCAAACAACCATTCCTTAGGCAACTGAAATAAATATTCAGAAAGGTGATGTGGAAATTCGTGCACCTTTGCATCACCTTTCTAAAAGACTATTTTTCTGTACACCTCAGTCACTGAAGGGCTCATAAAAATTGGCCTGAAAATGTGAGCAAGAGGCTTCATTCATGCTGGGAAAATGTTTCACCTTTCTGGAAATCGATGTATAATTTTAATGTTTGATATGACATTGTGTGATTGGACTACATACTCTTCTGGATAGTATATTTGACTGCATAATTACTGATGAGGCAACAATACGCATCTGATTGCCATTACAAACAAAGAATAAGCAGCAAACATAATGCTCTCATGTTCCAAGGGAGCCCTGGGTGAAGAAATGTTTAATCCTTTAATGTTGGAAGTGTTAATAACCAGATAAGAAAATCTCCCTAGAGGTAGTGTAAATGCTTCCTCAAGGCAAAAATCCTTGAATGAAGGGGGGAAGCTCTTGGTGGACTGTTGGTCTGAAAATGTACAAGGTTGGTTGTAGTCCAAATGGTGTGCTTTTTCCAAATTCAGAGCTTTGTGCAGTTTGGTGGCAAAGCCTTGTCCAAGGCTCTGTGCACAGAAGTGCTGGTGAGCCAGCTGGGCTGGATTGCGGGCTCCTTGCAGCTGCTTTCACCATTTTCACTGCAGTGCTGAGACACTAAAAAATATAAAGTATTAAATTAAAAGAGTGCAAATAATTTTGGATCTAAAAATCAGCAAACTTAAATAAGTCAGCTTTTCAACATTAATTATTTTGTAAGTTGTTTCTTGTTAATAAAAAAAAAAATAAAAGGAGGAAAAAAAAAACAACAACAAAGAAACAAAAACAAACAAAATACTTGACCATGACAGCTATTGCGCTGAATTGAAAATGATAACAGAGTTAGGTTGGACTGAAAATGATTGTTAGACGTAAATGGTGCCCATTATGACTTGTTTCATCAGAGGCGGTTTTCATACAAGTTTCATGAAGAATTTTCTGAGCAAAGTAATTGGTGTTTAAACATTTCAGTATAAAGGGTTCCTCTCAAGATTTTGGTAAGTAAGAGGTATAAATGTATCATTTAAGAAAGTTAAAATTATTATTTAATTAATTTTTAATTTAATAATTTTCCATCATAAATTAATAGCAGTCACAATTAGGGGAAAAGTAGCCCTATCTAGAAACAACCTCTGTTTTGAAATGTAGGATCCCAATGCAATCAAGTTAGTGATGTAACAGAATTTTAAGTAGAAATGGAAGGAAGCATTGTAGTACATGTTGGCATTACATACCACCCAAATGAAAGGAGTGTTTATTCAACAAAAGCAACTGCAACAACAGTAATTATTAATAATTGCCTTGCATTTTAGAGCAGGACTAATGGATTGTAATGGAGTGATTAAAAGGTATCTGTGAGACTGTTCAGAAGAGGCAGGGGAGACCCTGGATTTGAGCATTTTGCCAATTTTGCATTTTGGGTAGTTGTGTCAAGATGACTGAAACTCCAAAAAATCCTTTGGAGCTGTGGTAGTTGTGGTATTTGAAGTTTTCTTCTATGTTTGTACTAGCACAAGATAATTAATGTGAAAATGTAATTGTGTGTATGTTTGTAAAATCAAACTTACAGTTTAGTCTAAGCAAAGTGATGGCATTTTTATTTAATTTTCTACAGTTGTTGCTGCATCTGTTTTCAGTTATTTGATGAGAAATATTAAATGTGTCTTTCAGTGTTTATTTGCCCTGTACTTGGTTCCAGGATTATTTTAGCACAAGAATAAACTGAAACTTCTACCAATAAGGTTATCCAAACCTAGGTACAAATCAGGTGTCTAAAATGCCAACACTTTTTTAATTATTATTACTATTATTTTAAAATGCTAATCTTTAGTCATCATCTGTGCGTATATTTTTGTATTATGTCTATCATTTTATTAACTAAAAACATCACCAAAGAAAAGTAACATTTGTTCCAAAACTGCTTCTTAAAAAGTTTTCTTTCCAGCTTTTTTCATTGTTGAAATGTTTAAAATTAACTCTTAAATATATATCGTAAATGTAAACCTGACTTAGATCTGGCACTTCGGAAGCACGTTCCAGTTTTCTAAGTCCCATGAAGAACTGTAATTTGTAACCTCTCTGATAAACTTGATAGTTACTGCTGAGATTCTTTAAGCATATTTTTTCAGATCAAACCAATTACTGGTGGAAAACAGTATTTTTATGTCAGGAAAAGTTGCTCTTATTTCTAAGTACTATCTTAATTATTACATTCTTCACCAGATTCTTTGCCTGACTAGAAATGAACTTCTTACCCAAAATAAATACGAATACTTACTTAGAGGCTCAGCATTTTGCCCGACTGAAAGCAACATATTTGTGTCATGTCAGTTCTGGCAAGAAAGTCAGATTAGGCATTCTCACCTCCCCCTGCCCCTAGACATTAATTTGTGTGCCTCCATTCATTGCCTTTTCATTTGCATTGGTAGAACAGCTTTGGAAAATAAACTTCAAGTCAGTTACAAGGATGCCAGTTTATTTATTTTTTAATAATTAAAAAAGAGGCAAAACCCCCCAACACTCCCCAAGAAAATATAGAGTCTGACCTTAAATAAGGATGATTTCAACCTTCTAATACAAGCAGCATTGTAATGCAAACAGCAGTGTAGGTCCAACAGAGGAGGCAGTCACCAGTGGTACAGGGCTCCACTGGTAAGATCACTATGGGCATTTTTGGTGCCTGTTTGTTTGTTTCACTTCCAAATCGGTGCATTTTCAAAACGCTGACTGGGAAGGGAATTGAAGCTTCATGCGTATATAATTATGAATTTTATATAAACACAAAGACTCAGTGTAAACAAACAGCTATAAGGACAACAGAAGCAGTTCTTGATACAGAAATGAAGGAAAGGAAGTACTGCTGGAGTGGCTGAAACCTGTACTAAGGCTTGTTTAGATGAGTCAGGGACATAAGAAGACATTTTTCTGCATTATCTTTCCAAACTTTTTTAATCCTGATGTTTAAAACTGCAAAATATAATGTATGTTAGGACAAAACATTTTTTTTTTTTTCCAAAATCTTGATTTCCAACATGAACATAAGGTCACATGATAGTAGCTGAGATAAAATAATAATAATAATAATAATAATAATAAAATAATTGATTAACAGTAATTAAAAACATAATTTTGTTTTATTAATTGCACTTTACAGATGTCCATGAAGAAAACAAAATGTGAGGACTTTTTATTGTTGTTAGTGTGGTTCAAAAAGTGGGTGCACCTTATTTTACATGACTCTATTACATGTTAATTGCAGTTTTGACTAAAACTAATCCAGTTGGAATGAAAGTGGTTATTGAATCTGATTTTCTGTTTCTGGTAGAAGGCAGATTTCAGCTCAACGAAGGTTAACCAATGGAAGATTTATTTTAAACTTCGTAAACAAAAAAATAGCTGGATCAGTTTTATTGGCAAGCTTTACATAAGTCTTTTTGTTTCATTCAGGTCCTGGTACAATATCAGCTAAGGTCTGTGTAAGAGCAATGTGACGGCTCAGAGTAAATATCTCCTGGTTTGAAGGTATGCGATGCCACAGTTCCACTTCTGGCTTGGCTGCACGCATCCTACGTGACCTTGGGTAAGTCATTTACCTTCTCTGTGTCTTAGCAGCAGTTATAATTCTCCGTATCACACAGGACATCTCTAAATAGATACACACAGGACATCTCTAAATAGATAAGAGGGAGATCAGAATATAATTACATATGTAGAATGTCTTTGATAATGAGTTAGTAGTGTGGATTGTTGTCACTGGCCATTAATTGTAAAAATATTGTATTTTGCTTTCACTGTTTTGGAGGCTATTTTGTGCTGCCATCATACTCCCTGTACTGTTTTCCTCAAGTGCCTCTCTCACAGGACTATCTTCAATAGAAGAAGTAGTCACTTGTCTAGAACACAGGCTTGCCTAGAACACAAGCTACCTTGACTTTGTACCCAGCTCAGACTTGCTCCTGCTTGAGGAAAAGACAAGATTTGTGCGGTGGCAGCTGGTTGTGTCAGGGAGGTATCCCCATTCCCACATTCGTGTGCTCATTCTCCCTTGCAGCTGCAGGGTTAGCTTACCCATTCCCCCATTCCACTCCTCCCCTGCATGAGAGCCAGCTACCAGGTGAAGCTACCCTCTCTTCTTGTCCTGTCTCCAGAGCAGGTGAGCAAAAGCAGGGCTGCTGCAGTGTGGAAAACGTAAGAGGCTACTTTGTGAGCAACAGCACGAATCATTGCTTAGAGAGGAAATGCTGAGGTCTGGTTCCTGGAAGTGGTGGGGGTGAACAGTTCTTGTCAAGAACTCAATGTTTTGTCCAAAAATCACTGAACCTTTTTTGTAGTACCCAAAGGCTGTCACCTGATGATGAGAACTATTGGATAACTGGAATTATTTTTTTCCCGATTGTAACTGCAGCAGCAGTGATTTTTTCTGTCCAACTTAATTTGAGATTTAATACTTTCTTTAAAGTTCTGCCCAATTGATTTCAGTTTTTTTTTTTTTTTTACAGCTTTGATAAATAGTGCATAAATACATATTTTGGAGATTAAAGAAAAAGTTTGCTGTAGCGATTTTTATTTTTTAATTCTGGTTATAGATTTCTACTTCGAGGACTGCTTTTTGATGTTTTTTATTGTTATTCTTTTATTCATCTCTATCTTATCTCAAAGACCAGTTGAAAAGCATTTCAGCTATTGTAGTTCGTGTCCAAAAGCTGTTATCATTTAGCAGCTGCTTTTGTTGTTTTTATAGCCATATGCCACTTAAAGCTTATTTGATCTCCTTAAATGACCTTATTGTGCACTCTTACGCAATCCTATTTTAAAGAGATTTAGGTGCCTACAGCTGGAAATAGGCTCAAACTGGGATTTTCAAAACTGTCTAACAGTCCGACTTGCACCAAAATCGGTGACTGTCACGCTACTGGTAAATCCCTCTAGATTCCTGTCTATCCATTTAGAAACCTTAATGACCTTGAGGAGAAGGGCCCACAGGGACCTCATGTTATCCCAGTGAAAGCGAAAACTCTCACAGTGCTCTCTGGCACCTGATACTGGTGAAGTGGGTGTGCCTGGAAAGCTGGGACTCATAGCTTGGTGGGGAGATCAGGGGAACAGAGCAGTGTTTAAACAGCAGCTAAATCTTGAAAGAATAATGGATGTGGATGCAGGGATTGTTAGCTGTGCATCTCTCTTGTTTTACTTGGAGTACTCGGCGTAGTTCTCCAACCAGATATGGTGTGTCCTGGTCGTCTGCACTGTGACAAGTAGGAACACTACTGAAAATCTGCTCTGCAACTTAAAACCTGTACAGGAATGTTACTTACCATGGGTATTTCCTATACCTGTCATCTTTCTCTTCCTGGAATGATAAATTGAGACTGTTTATACAGAACATTTGCACACTCGAAGATGCTTTTTGAGTGCTGTCAGTTAAGGAGTTGATGTAAAGCCTGGCACTGATAGACAAGTATGGAGTAGGGGACAGTAAGCTCGTGGCTAAAAGCCTGATCAGAATAGTTAGGCGAGCAAGCTCTATAAAAGTAGCTCTATGTTTTTATAAGTGAGCATCTTGTGCAGCAGAATGAAACACCTTATAACCAAAAAGTAAGGCTGTTCTGTAGCTGGAGTTAAAAAGTTCTCTGTTTATGTTGTAACAACCTTTGTTGTTACTCTCAGTTAGAGCCTGGAAGACCTAAACTTGAGAAGTAGAGTCATAGCGGGAAACTCTCACTGGCAGACTTCTGCTTCTTTGGGGAAGATTTGTCAAGCTGTAGCTCACGCATGTCATTTTGCTTTGCTGCAGCTTCCTGCAGAAAGTTATTCCATTCCTGGCCTTATGCTTCTCGCTCAACATGATTTCTTTTTTCAATACTTCCCTTTCAAGCTCACTGTTGTAATATTTTACCAGTGAAAAATGATTTTCTTCTGTCTTTTTCATGGCAATAACCTGTGTTTTTGCCATGCATTTCAGACCAATTTGAAAAACATAAGTCTCAGAGGTCCAGATTAAAAAATGGCTTCACATACCTCAGTCCTGTCTGCAGTGCAATTTAGGAGCCTGTGACTAATAGCAATTTGCGTATATACTGTGCCTCATTTCTTAAGTGCCTATTAATTCATAGGCTCCTGGTTTTCTGCCTGTAACATTGCTTTAGTACATGTCCACATGGTGTACTGTAGTGCTGTGCACAACCCTGTGCCCATAGGAAGCAGCAGTGGTTCCTTGTAGAGGTACTTGGACAACAATGGTTCCTTGTAGAGGTACTTCGACAAATATGAATCCAGAATTACTCTGCCTGCATAAGCATGATGCTGTGAAAGCTAATGTACAGCTGTTTGTTTAAAGCTCTGAGTATATCTGTCATGTCTTCATGGAGTAGGATGAGATTAGGAGGGGCAAGGACGGATTGGTATGCAAGTGAATGATGCCTAGTAGCTAGGAATTGTTTCCTGATGACACCTCCTTTTTCTCCAGTTTCATTTAAAGGAGGTAGTTTGCAATATTAATGTACCTTCATGTATTTAGCTGGTCTTGTGCTTTGCAGACAGTCAAAATATCATAATCAAAGTGCCTTCTACAGAAGTTCACTGCTGTGTGACCTGGCACTGACATCTGTAAGCTGTCCTCCTGGCACCTTTCTATAAAACAGAGTTCTACTGATTCCTAGTGTAATTATGAAATAAGAACAGTGTCATCACCAAGCTGCAGTCAAATACTGGAGAACAAATCAGATCAGAGGTAGTCATCTATGGTACTACTGTAGTTAGATCCAGTTAGTTGACTACTAGCTATTACTTTACTTCAACAACAGAGGCTCTGAAAAGTTGGAGACTAGGAGACTTGATTGCACAGACAGACTGAAAGAGTACCATGGAGTTAACCAGAGCAATTCAGGGAAACAGCAGACAAAAATCTGGATTTCACAACCTTAAATTGTTTCTGAACGATTAGCTGGAAACAATGCAGAAAAGCTCTCTGGACTTGGGAGGAGACCTTGTATTTTTCAAGTGACCCTTATTTTGTTAACCAAGATTATAGATGAGTTAAGTCTTTAATGTAATATGAATCCATCTTTTTCTGCAGCGCCATCATCATCATCTTTCAAAAGCTGATAGAAACAAATTTCCAGCTCCAAGTATAACATGAATTTGCTTGAAATATGTTGTAATAGTCACTGAAAACAGATGTCTGTCAATGATGCGTCTGTGTTGAGAAGATTACTGAAAAAAAAAAAAAGGCAATTGATCCATATGGGTAGTGGTGTGCTGTCTTTAGCAAGTTACGGAGATTTTTCAGCCTGAAATCTAAGCCTACTCAGGGTATAAGGTATCTGTGATCAATTAAAAGAATGAACTGAGAAAAATAAGTCTACAGTAATAGGCTTGTATTTCGTATGGGGCATCCATAGTCTCAGCTGTTCCTGGCTTTGATGGGTGACCAAATGTGAGGGCAGTTTGAGTCATTTCGTTGATGTGGTTTAAATGCTGTTGTAAAATATCCAACTGCTGTTTCCAAAGAAATAGAAGCAAGATGGAGAGAAATGTGAATAAATAATTTAGAAACAGAAACAATGTAGAAATTAGTTGAAGTAGAATTAGTGAACTGAAGCTGTCATTCTTGTTTATTGTTAAAAATAATAATTTATTAACAAATATATATATAACTTTATAAATTATTTTAATAAATTTATAAATAGTAAATATGTAAAATATTATTATAATTATTATTATTATTATTATGACAGCTATTCTCCAAGGAATGGAGAAGATTACAGGAGTGGACATATTTTTGGGGTATGTGTAGGTTGATTTATGATCAACTGAGTAAAGTAATGGGTTTGATGCATTAGAAGACATCACGCAGTTTGTGCTGTCTATCAAGAATCAGCATGGATGCTTCTGCTGCAAAGCAAAAAGGAAAGCCTGAAGTGTTAATGAGGATGTTTTTGTTCTGTGTTTGACACTTAGAACAATCACTGTGCAAAGAGTGTGTTGGTCTTCTTTGCCCATTTAGATTTTTAATTTAATTTTATTTTTTCAAGTCTGGTTGAAGTAAACCATCTGGATTTTTGGGTGCTATTCAGCCTGCAGAGATTTTTGCACATGTACTGTACTATAGCTGGTATTAATTTTCAGGAGGGAAATTTATAGGCTTTGTGTTGGATGCTTGTAAACGTGTACCACATCTGCAGGTGTGGCCATTATATCTATTAGCTCAATACTGTTTTCAGGTTTCTCTAGGGATGAGAGATCCACAAACTGCAATAACATATAATGTTGTATTGAAATTAATCGTTTCTACATTGTAGTGATTCCCATTTTCTAGTCCCCAAGCTCTGGTTCCTCTGCAAGTAAAATCTTTCACAGATATAAGCATCAGTTCATTGACAAACTTAAGAATGTGCTTAATTTTAAACATATGAATAGTTCCCCAGATATGTCATAAAAAGGGCACCAACAGCAGAACTTCATGTTTCATACAGTATTTAGCAAATATAGACAAAGAACACAGGTGTACTGGAAGCCACTTTTTTTTTCTAAAGCATCGTTTCTGGTTCATGGTGTTATTATAAGCAGCAGTATAAGAAT